AAACTAGCAATCAACAATTGCGCCACCCCTTGCACCACTTTGCGCTGGGTGTATGATAGGGCCCGAAGTCTTCTAATGTTCCTTAACTCAACATGGTGTTCTGATTGAGGATGGCTTTGCCTGCAGTGAAGAGTTTAAGAGTTGAGCTTTTCATCCTGCCTTAGGGGAAAACATCTGAACATTCAATTCTAGCGGTTTCTTGAGGGTTTGTTCCTTCTTTATCAGTGCAAATGTGACTAAATTGACACATCAGGTGCCTCTTGGTTAAACTGTGCAAGACCTCTCAACATTGCTTGGTTTGCTTTGCATCAGCAACCTATGCACACACAATGGTGCAGTTTGTAATTATGGTAAGAGCTCTGCTTAGATTATTATTATTATTATTATGACAAGTCTTTTAGTGGAAAAAATGCATACAGATAAAAAAAGAAAGCCATCACGTGAAATGTCATGAATATTACCTGCGTAATGCACAATTTTATCTGACATTTGGAACTAAATTGCAATGTGAAAAATGGCTTTAGAAGTGTTATTTTAGCACAGGCAGTAGTACAGTAGGTTTATTAGAATTACTGGTTGACTGTAGCAATCATAGTTTCATTATTTGATAATGGTCATGACTTTTAAGGGTTAAAATCACTCAAAAAAATCATGTTAATAATTTATCACCCCCATGTTGTCACGATCTGTTGACACCTTCAGAACGCAAATTATAAGGCCCAATCCCAATTCCATTGTTTTACCCCTACTCCTTCTCCTTGGCTCTTGAAACAGAGTGTGAAGGGAAAGGCATCAAATTTTACCACTGAGAAATGGGACAGCTTTACACCCGCTCACGTCATCATATGTCATTACGATCTCTTATTTCATATGATGGCGACTGCTGTAGTTATTCCAGTTGTATTATTTTTGGAGTATTTAGAAAATCACTGAAGGCAACAATATTATGTTATCATAATGATTTAATGTGGCAATAAGCTCTTAACTGTAATGTGGATTTACACCAGAGATGCCCACAGTAGGGCCCACGGGCCAAAGTTGGCTCATTGTAACCTTTGATTTGGCCCACCATACCATCTGAAAATAAAAGAGTGAGAATAATTGGGTTTGGCCGATGTCTTTAACAGAGATCGTCATTTCTAATTCGATGTAACCTTGTTTATTTGTTTTATTACAGAGCTACAAAAAAAGCTAACTAAATTTAAATGTTCATTTAAATGTTGTTAATTAGTTAGACTTTTTAAAAATATAAATACTGTCACTCAGGACTATGCAGGGGACTATGCAAAAAACTGGTGAAATTAGTTAGTATAAAGCAATGTATTCTAGTCTTTTTTTATATTATTAAATAAATTTGGAAATTACCTATGGCAATTATATTACCTTGGGCCCACTAGCCTCAATCAAGTTTGGTTTTTGGGTCTTCATAAGAACAAGTTTGGGCACCCCTGATTTGCACAGTTGCCAAATTTATTAAACTAACAAAAACAACATTAACATTGTAGCAGACACTGTAAAAAGCTCATTCCATGCCACTAAACTTTTCTGACAGGGTACTCGAGTATCATCGAATGACAGACGTGAAAGTTTGTTGTGGGACTACTATACAGGGGTTATAATTATGGATTAGAGATAGCGAATTTTAGTTTTACTTTTACGTTTTTTTTTTTTTTTTTTTTTAAGTATGATGGTAAAATTGTTTATGAATGTTTTAAAACATATGCTTGTTGTAAAAAAAACAAAAAAAAAACTAATTTGTCTAACTCCTTACTTCCATGTGCAGCCATGCGGATGTTGAAGATAGTGTGTTTTGGGAAATTTTCAAACCCCTTCGTTTCGAGTGTGGTCCTGAAAAATCTCGGTTTCAAGGGGTATATAGCCCTTCCCCTTAGCCCTACGCCTTCAAGCTAAAGAGAATTGAGACACCTACTCTTTCACGTGAACATGCAAAACAAGAGGTAGAGGAAGGGCTAAGGGGTAGAATTGGGATTGGGCCTTTAAATAAGTTACTTTAGATTAAATCTGAGAGCTCTCTGACCCTCCATAGACTTCTATAGTGCTGAGAGTGTTCAACTGTAATCATACAAAGCTTCAAGAACACTTTTATGTGCCAAACAAACTGAAAACAGGATTATGGTTCATAGTTTATGTCAACTCTTCAGCCGTATCAGGTCCCGGTGCATGTTTACAATGGGTAATATAATGCTTGCTTGTTAGACTGCTGAGTGTACTGCCAGTACCTTGTGCTGATGTATTAAAAGTGCACCCTGTTGACCTGACCTGGAAGAGAAAACACTGGTGAGCAAAGTTTTTTGTTGTTGTTGTTTTTCAAAAGTGTTCTTGGTGTTTCATATTATAAGTTGAACCACTGCAGTCACATTAATTAATTTACGTTTCATCTGTTTTGGTGAATAGTCTCACCCTTATCAAAGCCAATTTCTGAACAGCAATAATGTAGAATATTACTGCAATTATTAAAAAATTATTATAACAGGATTATATTTAGTAATATTGTATTGATTTTAGTGACAATGTGTTAATTGAATAGTTCAATTAGTAATAATTGTAATGTTATGTAATGTGTATAAAGTGCATTTATTGTGTACTGTATGGCCATACACTCAAAGCGCTTCACAATCATGAAGGTCACCACCACCAGTGTGCAGCATCCACTTGGATGATGGGACATTAGCCACAGGACAACGGTGCCAGTGCGCTCACAACACACCAGTGATAGAGACAATTGGATGGATGGGGATGATTGGGAGGCCATAATCGTGAAGGCCGATTGAGGGACTTTGGCCAGGACTTATTTATTCAGCTTTCAGGCGATGTATACATCTCAATTTAATAAAAGAATGACAGTTATGAGTCATGACTATAAGTGCCTTTTTTATCAAACTGAGATTTATACATCGTCTGAAAGCTGAATAAATAAGCTTTCCATTGATGTATACTTTGTTATGATATTCGTAAAATACCAGATGGAACTATTTATTTAAAATCTGGAATCTGAGGTTTCAAAGAAATCTAAATGCTGAGATAATCCCCTTTAAATGGAACCTGTTATGAAAAAATCTCTTTTTAAGCGGTTTAAGCACAGTTGTGTCACAACAGTGTGTAAATATAGCCAGACTCCAATGGTAAAAAATAATTTATTCTATTTTTTAAAATCACACTTCATAAAAATAGTTTGCAGAAACACTTTGATTGACTCACTTTTGTACTCTTTCATTAACATAGACAGCCCTGAGTGAGAAGCAGCCATCCGCCAGTGTTTTTTTATGCAATACTAGGCAAATACCAGGCGTGTTAGACAGACACCTCCACTAGCCCCTTTGGCTGGTTGGAAATCTGCTACAAAGTGTAGTTTTCTTAAAAGCAGGGTTAGAAAATGCGATTCGTGCAAATGTGATCTCAACATCGATAAGCAGCACGACTGACAATAATAACTATGTTCGCGCGAGCAAAACAGCAAAAAAGAAGGTAAATACCGAACAAGAGAATGATCAAAGACGTGCATAGGTAATGTGATGCGTGCGACTGTTAAAAAGTGTGCGCGCTCCTGTTTACTTAGGCAAAGTAACCATGCCTAGAAAAAGTGCAACTGTTGCGATCTGTTCCCTTTGAAATAGACTGGACAAAGAGCGATGACCACATATCCATAGACAGTCCTGCTGCTTTCGAGAGCTCAAGATAAAAAAAAAATCATTCTTTTGTAAGCAGCAGCGGTCACTGCTTTCATTGAACAGATTATTAAAAGGCCTAAATTAACCATGTGCACGTGATCATCCTTTTATTGTTAAACATGGTATGTTTAACCTGCCTTCTTTCGCTTACAGTCATTTTTGTTAATATGGTTTAATTATATATATTTTTTACAATAACATTGCTTTGATGTGAGATTACTTCCGTGTATGTGTAGTTAACTGGTGATCTGGGACTTTTGGCAAGGACAGATTACCGTGCATATTTTAGATTTATGACAATAATTATTTTTTTTAAAGTGAAAGTTTTTAAAGAAAAGTTTTTTTGAATTAAAAAGTGAACCTATAAAGCTATATTTTCCTTGTTTTGACACATTAATTGTAATGATTGTATTGTGACACAACCCATTTGCTCATGCACACTGAGCAAGCTAATACACAATGCACACAAGAAGTTAAATGAATGAGAAGGCATGTGGACATAACACATCATCTTAATCGAGTCATTTTAGCATGTCAAAGTCAAATGTATGCATATAAAACATGTTTTCCCAACAAGAAAAGTGTGGCTTGTGAAAATAGCGAGTGGCTAGAAATGTTGGAAATCTACTAGCCACAGTGGCTGGTGATCAAAAAAGTTAATGTCAAGCCCTGCTTATCATCATTATGAAATGGTTTATTGTTTGTTGGTGTATTATTTATCAGAATGGGTAAAAATTAGTTATTTTTTTATTGCCTACACATTAGATCTGGCCATCTTTGAATCAGTCAAATGCAGACAGATTGTGTGTGATAAAGAAATATGTAATAGCTCATAGTAATGTGTATTAGCTGCACCCAGACTGCTGGTTCTCTCCTGTGCTTTCATTCACTGGGTTCAACCAAACAATTTTCCTGCCCGTTACAAACCACAGGAGAGGGTAAATTCTCCAGCAGGGTAGCGCTCCTCATACGTCAGCCTCCACATCAAAGCTCCTGAAGGCAAAGAAGGTCAAGCTGCTCCAGGATTGGCCTGCCCAGTCACCAGACATGAACATTATTGAGCATGTCTGGGGTAATACTATTAGCTCCCTTAAATGAATAGTTAAAAAAAATAATAATTCTGTCCTCATTTCCTCAGCCTTCAGCTGTTATAAACCAGTTTGACTTTCTTTCTTCAGTTGAACAGAAAAGAAGATATTTGTAAGAATGTTCAAAACCCGTAAAAACACATGCAACACTTCTGAAGCAGACATTAAGCAGATAAACACAACAGACTCTCTTTTGTTTTGTTCAACACAACTTTATTGAGTTTTATACTTTTCTCTGTCCCCATAACAGAATATGGCGGTTTTTCCCCCGCCGTGCAGCCTGGGCCTTGGAGGCAGGTCTGTTGTTGGGCCACATATGCTGCTTCTGTATTGGGAACTTTCTGCTCATCTCCTCTTTCAAACTGTAAATTGTCCTTGTCGTCATCCTCCTCCTGTTCACCACCCTCTCCTCCACCCTCTCTTTCTCCTTCATGTTCTTTTCCACCTCCTCACTTTCATGTCCTTTCACCTCCTCCTCCTTTTCCACCACCTCCTCCTCCGTCAACACCACCTCCTTTTCCACCACCTCCTCCTCCTGCATCATCTCCTTCACTTCCTCCTTCTCCACCACCTCCTCCTCCTGCATCATCTCCTTCACTTCCTCCTTCTCCACCACCTCCTCTTCCTTTTCTACCACCTCCTCCTCCGTCATCACAACCTCCTCCTTTTTCTCCACCACTTCCTCCTTCTGCATCATCTCCTTCACCTCCTTTTTGACCACCGTCTTCTCATATACCTGATAATCTGTTAGAAGACAAATGATTGCAGTTTGCACATACACACAGTCAGTTTCATGTTAAACTCCAGATAAGGGCAGTAAAAATACACAACATTATAGTTGGTTTATTCACAACATTATAGTGTAAAACATGTAGATGTCAAAAGCATCATTTACCATCAGAGGATGGAAATGTGAAAGGCTCATAGCTGGGAGAGAAGAAGAACCATCTCAAAGCCGCTCCGATGAACAAAGCAACTTTGCTCTTCTTTTTCTTCTTCTTCATCTCTTTCACTTTCTCCTTCTTGTCGTCTGTTAAAGGAAAACAATTGCACATCTTGACACACTTCTCCACAGTAATTTAAGAGGCAATTAAATGAACATTTACCAAAAACAAACACACACACACACATATTTATATTAAACTGCACATTTACCTTTACATTTAAACATACCGTAACCATGAAATTTCACTTTTATTTTGTATTTTGTTATTATTTATTGTATTCAGCTATAATAATATGTGATTATTGTCATGTTTTTTAAAACTGGCTACACAAATAAATGGTCAATACACCAAACAATAAACAAATACACGTTAGGTGCACTTTATTTTAAAACAGAAAAGCGAATACTTCATTTTACTGTGGGATTTTAGACTAAAGTTGTGTCAGAAAAGCTGAAAATGAGATTCAACATCAAACTGTTTCCATTAAGATGCACTTGAATGGCCTAATAATAGACCATAATATTTAACATTTACTATTTCAACATATTCTGTTGCTGCTATTCATTAACTGCAGCACTGTGATTAGCCAACTGATGAGATAATATCATCAATTTGAAATAAAAATGCCAGAAGTTATTATAATCATATGTACATCCTGCTATAACCTCACTGTTTTTGTAATTGACACACTATTGAACTGTATTTTACTGTATTTATGTGGTGTTTCTGTATTTTAAAGTTGCTTTGTGAAAATGACAGTGAAAATATACATATAATTCTGTAAACACCACAAGATAAATAGAGTAAATAGAGGACTTTTGTTCTGTTACTGGCGAACTGCTGCTAGTTACTGTGGATGTTACAGGAATGTGTTAACAGACCTCTTTCAGAAAACAGCTGTCTATCAAACATTAGGTTTTAATAGTAAGTATATTATTATGTCAGGAAAACACTGAATATTCATATCAGAATGTAAATATGACTCACTATTAGTGCCGTTTACAGGCAGTTCTTTGAGCTGCTGCATTTCCTTCTGGCTCTTGGAGATCTTGCTGGCTTTTAGGAAAGGTCTCTTCGTTTCTGCAGCTGATGTCACGGGGTCAACTCCCAGTGCAAGATGTTCAACCATGATGGAAATTTGGTTTTTAGGCTTTCTGTCAAAATCTTGGGGTTTGGTAGCTTAAATGGGATGAGGATTTCGGTCTTGCACCGTGAATCGCTCAAACGGGCAGATATTTAATCGCTGAGAAACACTAGAGGAGTTAGATATTCAGCCGCAATGAAAGACACACCCGCTCAATGCCACTACAACAAACCAACAAGAGTTTCTCCTGTGCTGCAAGGCTTAGAGTACATTTTTGGAATGCGTTCTATTCTCGGAACATGCTTCACTATGGTAACCAGACCCTACACTAACCAATGTTTTCTTTTAAAAGCAAATGACTGAGGACATGTGCAAATCACAAGAAAAACTCTTCTAAATAAATTGATCAAAAGCCGTCTTAAACACATATTCAGTTAGAAATTGATGTAACTGTAGACAAAGAAGCACAACAAATGAAGCGCGAGAGGCTTCTGCAAAACTCAAACCACAAAACTGACTTATACTGACTAAAATAATATAAATTAATTTGAAGTATTCAGCTTCAATGTGATCCATCCAGCAAGACATAGGGAAGAGCGGGCACAGAGTAACACTTTTTGGTTTTGGCCAAATAATGAACGAATAGAATATGAATGTCGAGTTATAAAATCCAGTAGGAGCTCAATCTCATTTGAATTTAAAGTAACAGTCACCAACATGACATAAGTTAAATCAAAGCCTAAAGGAGGCAGTTTCAAAGAGTTATAATTAGGCCCACACGGAATCTGCGCGCACAGAATTCCGCAAATTTTCTGCAGAATTCCGCAGATTTCTGCAGTTTTTTAGCCCATTATAAATTCTGTTTATTTACTTGAGTAAATGTGTGAATCGGAATTTATTCGGTTTTTATTCAGTAATTTATTAATTTTTATTTAATATATTAAAGTGTAAGTTATGATACTCCGCTGGATACTCCCAAAATAATTCCGCAGAAATCCACAGATTTATACCAAAATTCTCCGCAGAAATAGCAAAAAAACGTCCGCAGATTCCATCTGGCCCTGGTTATAATACATTTATTTGTGTAGTATTTTGAGAGGAAACTTCACATACACACTCTAGGCACATCAGAGACCTATTTTACATCTTGTAAAAAGGGACATAATAGGTCCTAATTAGTTGTCTACATGAAGACCCTTTGCAGGGTTTTTATTCACACTACCTGACAAAAGTCTGGTTTGAGGTTACATTCAGTATAGGGGCGTGCGAGAGATCTGTATAGTGGATGGCAACATCATCAGCCTGGGGTATTAAAACATTTGTGCTGCACATTAAATTAAAAACCGCTGGAGAGGGGAATCTTCAGCAGGATAGCACTCCTTCTCATACTTTAGCCTCCACATCAAAGTTCCTGAAAGCAAAGAAGGTCAAGGTGCTCTAGGATTGGCCAGCCCAGTCACCAGACATGAACATTATTGAGCATGTCTGGATAGAGGCATTGAAGATTGAAGAATCTTGATGAACTCTAGGAGTCCTGCAAAAGCACTTTCTTTGCCTTTCCAGACAGCTGTAGGCTATTTGAGTCATTGCAGAGATGTATGGATGCAGTTATCCAAGCTTATTGGAGTCATACACAATATTAATTAATTTCCACTGCACCATGTCTATATTCAATTTCTGTACATTATTTCTGTTAAGTGACAAAACCTTACTGTCCTAATAAAATAATTAAATATCAAGGCATGATCATATTTTATTTTGGTTAAATAAGCGTAATCTAGAGGCCTTTGCCTTTTATATAAGCCACTTCTGATACCAAATGATCAACTAGAAGTCAAGTTATTATTGGTTGTTCCTAAAACTTGGATCAGCGACAAGACTTTTGTCAGGTAGTGAATTTACAGTTGAAAATTAGCAAAAATATCTTCAAAAAACACAATCTTTACCTAATATTCCTAATATACCTATGCATTTTGCCATAAAAGAAAATTCTATCATATTCACATTAAATACAATGTATTTTAGGCTATTATAACCATGCAATGTAAGATGGATAGTTATCTAGAGTCACAAGGGTTATGATTAGCTGCTTCAAATGTCAGTCAAGTCCTATTTTCCAGTCAAAGTGAGTTTCTCAAACAGTGTAACCTGCAATTATACGCTTCATTCTGATATTAAAACATGCCATCCCTGAAGAACAATCTGATGCTTTCACGCCTTGTTACTTTTACAATGCCCAGCCATTTAAAGTTAGTAAAACAGCATTTTGTAAGAATGTGTATACAAGATTTGCAGCTCATAACTTTAATTACAATCATAACCGAGCCTGTAATTTAAGTGCTTCTCAAACAAACCCACAGCAAAGACAGCTGGTAACGAAATGCTCACCGGTCTGTAATATTTCTGGTTCCTCAAGCAATCACTGTGTGTTTGAGAGGTGAGTTTGTACCGTGTCTTTCACTCTTCTCGCCGCTGTTGACATACTTTGATGAAAGTCGTCCCATCTCTCGTCTGCCCCGCAGCGATAGATTAAATGTCACAGGCCTTCTTGTAGGACAAATTTCTGCTGTTTCTCTCCTCAGCTGAGTATATCAGCTCCTCTCTACTTTTCTGATGGATTTCTAATCCTACTACCAGTGATAGAATAACAATGAAGTTTGCTCTAATAGTCACACTTGACTGAGGACGTCTTGGTGTCCTTGACTCGTGTCTGATCTGCTCACAGACGGAAACACACACACACAACAAAGATCACACTGCCAGACATTGGATGTTTAATCACATCATACAGACGAGAAGAGAAGTTAAACATGCGGCTGAAATGCAGTTGAAGTAAAATCTAAATTCAGTGGAACAGTAACGGAAAGGGATGCAGACATGCAAATTCTGTCATCATTTACTTTACGATTACCTTACAAGCCTGGAATACAAATGTGACTCTGAAGCTCAAAACCAGTTTTATGTTGCACAAGTATTTTTGGCAATAGTCATATATTTTTCACTATTGCCAAAAATATGCTCATGCAACATAAGACTGGTTTTAAGCTCCAGAGTCACATTTGTAGACGTATTTATCAAAAAGAAAAAAAAAAAAAAAAAAAATATATATATATATATATATATATATGATTTTAGCTAAAGATCATGTTTCATGATGATATTTAGTGAATTACACAGTGTACATATGTCAAAAATATTTTTTTAATATTATTGGCATTGCCAAGAATTTAGTTACATTTTCTCAGTATTTTTTTTTTTTTTTAACCAATTCCTATGTTAACAAGCCATACATCAATGGAAGACTTATAAACTTAAAAACTTAAAGACTTAAGATATTTTTTAAACTTGGCAATTATGGAGTATAGATTATTACACTGGAAACGCTGAAAAAAAGAGCAAGGATGCTGTGTTGATTGACTGAATGATTGACTGATTGATTGATTGATTGATTTGATTGATTGATTGATTGATTGATTGATTTGATTGATTGATTGATTGATTGATTGATTGATTGATTGATTGATTGATTGATTGATTGATTGATTGATTGATTGATTGATTGATTGATTGATTGATTGATTGATCGATCGATTGATTGGTCGGTCTTCTAAACTCTTATGTTTCGAAATGTGTTGAAAAAAAATCTTCTCTCTCAAACAGAAATTTGGGAAAAAATAAACAGGGGGCTAATAATTCTGACTTTAACTGTATGTATAAATTATTAGCCCCCCTGAATTATTAGCCCCCCTGTTTATTTTTTCCCCACTTTCTGTTTAATGAAGAGACAAATTCTTCAACACATTTCTAAACATAATAGAGTTAATAACTAATTTCTAATAACTTAGAAATAATTTATTTTATCTTTGCCATGATGACAGTAAATAATATTTGACTAGTTATTTTTCAAGAAACTTCTTCACAGCTTAAAGTGACATTTATAGGCTTAACTAGATTAATCAGGTTAACTAGGCAAGTATATTTTTTATACATTTTATTTATTTAGCAGACAACTGGGGATCGATAGTTATGTAGGAAATATATATTTACATTTCTTACATTTCAAAATTTTAGAAAAATAAATAAATAAATAATAGAAATAAATGTATTTCTCCTAAAAAAGGCTATGAAGCTATGAGCTAAAAAGGCTATGAAATAAATATGAGATCTTGAACCACAAAACCAGTCTGTGTCCAACAAATCTATATACTAACATATTCGCATTTAAAGTCCTAATTAAATTCGTAACAATGCGCAATACTAATTCAAAAATAAGTTTTGATACATTTGCAGGGCATTTATCTTAATATTCTGAATATTTTTGGCTTAAAGCAAAAGTAAATAATTTTTCTCTATATTGATTTAGGTTATTGGCAAAAGTAAACCCATGCATATACTGTACCCATGCAACAAACTAAATTAATAAACAGATCCGAACACATTTTCACTGTAAATATTGACAAGTAATTATTTCCTCTGAACTGCTTGAAGACAGCTGGACTTATAGACCTTTGGGTCATTGTTTTACAGTATTACCAGGATACATACTTTGCTCAGTATTTGGTTGCCTGGAGCTGTGTTTGTTTTTCCAATTACAGACAAAATCGTTAATAAATGAACAGCTGAAGCATGCATTTCAGACCAGCATATTTACTATAGGCGTTTATGGAAGAAACTTTAATATTTAAACAGTGTTTCTAAATACTCAAAAGTTCTGCATTCAGATTCATTTGAAGAATGCGCCATTGCAGTTATGTATCGCATGTCATTTTCTGCCAAACTCATGCATTACTTATAAATATCTATCATTCCAATATGTTTCAATATGTTTTAATATGTTTTTCCATTTATAATTCAACAGCTGGGGTCTGGATCCAACATAGGAAGCAATGGTTAATAATAGATGACCATTACATCACGTAAAAGCAGTGTTTAGATTTACAGACTGTTTAATAAATGATTAGAAATCAGTGATCCAGTGAGAAACAGGCTCATTTGATCTCAGTCAGATGTGTGTATATGACGCTGATTAACTGAATGCAGCAGCTCTGACGTGTAATTAGGCGTTATTGACATTTACTGTAAAAAACATGACGACTAATATCTCCAGTTGTTTCATTTCAGGCCAGACTTAGTCGTGAAACAAAAATAACCATAAGAGAAAACTATTTCAAGGGAGAATGAATGCAAAACAAAAATAGATGAAGCATGTAAAAAATAGTAATGAAGACAAATGTGAGTATAAAAATCTAAATTTGCTCTGTTTTGCATTAATGCATCATTTTTCACACAGATTGGAATACTGCAAAAGCTTTGAAACATGCTCTGGATAATTATTTTTTTAATAAAATAAACCTATAAGGATTTTG